GCAAATTAGAAGTAGCAACTCAAGGGTTGCAAATTAGAAGTAGCAATTAAAGTTTAACAAAGAGATGTTATAGACTTATTTTACGCTCTTCCTTCACGAGTGGTAAGGTCCTTATGTTATATCTTTCTAAATATTTTTCTCTTATTGTTTGTTACAAGTAACAAGCTGGGAATCTGTTCAAAATATTAGGTGAAGATATATAGGGATTAATAAGTAGTTAGTAGCATTAATTGCTTTATTATTGTTATTTCTGTTGTTTTTGCATGCCTCGTATGTTATTACCTTCGGTTCTTCTACCAAAGAGTCATATTTTGGGTCCACAAATAATTCCATCTAGAAAATGTGTTTAAAACACAAATGGAATCCATCAGTATTTATAGGGTTAACTGGCACACGAATGATAAAGGGAACCTGCAACACAAAAGTAAACATAGTTGTAAGTAACGCGTGTTAGATGAAGATTATATACGTTTAGATGTTAACTACGGCAGGTAATTCAAAATCAGAGCAATTCTAGTTAGTATATTGTAATCTAATGAACGCCATTTATCGTGGAAACACGTGACACAAAATGCCGCCAACAAAGGACGGATATTAACCTATTTATCATGAAAACACGTGATGTAACATGCCATTAACAATAGATGGATATTACCTTATTCACACGATTATTCGGCGGCTGCTAATTATTCATATCCATCGCATGAGAAAGTAAATCTCATTTTTCTACACGTTTCTCATCCATTAAATGATGTTTTTTTTCACTCAGAAGAGTTGCCGCTAATGTGAGTAACGTTAAGAATATATTACACAACAATTTATTAGAATGGATCGTTTTTTAGCTCGACAAAAATGATTTTTTACCAATGTGCATCTGCGTGGGCTAATGACATCACATCATTGCAATGTCAGTATTTGGTTGACAAGGCAGGTGTATTTGTTTTTTACAAATCAAATTGGTCGTGACAAAAAATATAATGATTTTTTCTCTATTATATGGTAATAGTTTACTGTCAAGTAGGATCTGTGAAGTTGGAAAACAATGAAAACTTAAAATCTTTACTTCCTTTTTTAATATACGGTATTAAAGTGTGTCAGAATTGAAAAAGAAAAGGGTTTTACATACACTTCTTAATAGTATAGATTTATAATGTGTTGTTGTTGAGCTTATAATTCTTCTACAGTAGGTGTCTGTGACTTGTTGGAGATAAATTCAACGATAAATGAACAGCACGTACTTCCTTTGTTTTTCAAAATAATATATATATATTCGTAACAAGTTAAACGTATGTACAACAAATTCTTCACACTAAAGAAATTATAGACATAATATAAACATTATATGTATA